AATGGGACAGATTGGCACCTGTTTCTCGGTCCAATGCACTGAAAAGAACACAAACATCACTTCTCGCTGAAAAATATAGAACCTGGATTTAATCCAGGAGGAAGACCAGGAAGCCCAAATGGAAGGACATTCTGAAAATAACTACGCAATACTTTTCAAAGGAGTCAAATCAAGTTCATTGAAAAACAAAGAGTGGCCAAGGGACGTCACAGACTGGAGACCAGGAAGGCAGGATAACTGAATACAAGATGAGATTCTGGGCTGGGCTGCAGACCAGGAAAAGAGCGTCAGTGGGACAGTTGGGAAATTCAGATAAAGTCTATGTGTCAGGTAATAATACTGTGTCAATGTTAGTGGTCATGTGAGGTTTTACCACTTGGGTAAATGGGATGAGATACACGAAAATTCTTGGTATGTTTGCAACTATTTTGTAAGCCTGAAGACTTTTGTAAGTCTTCAAAATGAAAAGTTTAAATGTTTTAATTACTCCAGTCAGCAGGATAGAAGATGAGCAACCGAAGAGGACCCTTGAAATTAGACAGATTACAAATAACATCTGTCATTTCTGTTGGATACTAACTGATTAGAGCAACGATTCGCAACACGGATTTGGGGTCCCCCACCCCACCTCCCCCCATACACACCTTCCCATCCTGTTTTCATTTGAATGTCACAAAATCCTCAGAAAAGCTCAAAGTAGTGTTAGTCAAAATTCGCTTTGATTTTAAGTGTAAACATCCTGTATAGCTACTTTTCACAAAGGTGAAGGGAGAGGGGAGGGGAAATCACACGGACAAGAGGCTGAGTTCCAAAGACAGAGCTCTGAGCTCTAAAACAATCAGCTACAGCAGAATCACCTGGAAACTTTTTTTAAAGCTCCAACACGAAGCCCCACATAAAACCGATAGAACCAGTATCCATAAGAGTAGACTGTTTGTACAAGGTCACCAAGTGATTTGGAGGCAAACCAGGCAAGTATGAGAGTAAATGGTCTCTAACACGAGACTCATCGACCACTAGGTGGTGCCAGGTTATCGAAGACGGAGCTATCTGTTGGCTGTGGCATTTTCCCTTCAGAATACTCATGTCCTCTTGTTCCCTCCACATCTACCCAGAATTTTAGAAAAGAATTACATCGCACCAAAATAAATATGCCACTCCTACGAGTTCGGCAGTGTCTCCTTGACTGATCTCGTTTTGACAAACAGGCTCGTTCTGAGGGACCCCGGGACCTGCTTCCGTGTCCGTCTTTCCCTGAGCATCTTCCTTTCTGGCTGCAAAGGTTTGAAAGAAGAAAATCCACTGGAAGTAGAGCCTCCTCAGCAATGAGCGATCACATACGAGAGAATGAAGTGACACGTTCCTGGGAGTCATATTTAACCATTTGTAGGTTCAATCACTGACCTCGCCCCAAAACCGCGAATTCAAAAACATACTAGAATCATCAATTTATTCTTTTCCAAACTCCCACTGCTTCAGAGCAAAAGTATTTGACATCTTCTTTAACAATATTATCCTTTCTTCTCTCTCATATTTTTTTCACAGTAGAAAACACTGTGTGGATGATAATCTTACTTCAGAATTTTTCTGAAAAGTGCATTTGTTTGAAATGTTTTGTATGCAACCTTATAAGCATTGAATTACTTTTCCTTTTAACTGTGCATTGAACAGAAATTGCTGTAAAGCTGAGCAAGCCAAATAACACATTTGTTCTATCAACCTTACAAATATCTATTGAGTATACATAGCAGTACAGTGTTACAAACTAGCATGGAAATACAGGGGTGAGCAAAACAACACAAGCTTTTGTGCACTTGCATTCTAGTTCGGAGAAACATGGGGAGAGAAAAGAAAGCAAATTAACAAAACAATGACAGGTGGACCACTCTTTTTTAAAATAAAGCTGAGGCCTTTCAGATCAGGCCTTTGGGAGAGATGGCTGGTGCATGCAGGGCCTGAGGCAAACATGGGCACTGAGGAGCAGACACTGAGCAAGGAGGAGCCAAAAAGACACCTGAAAACTGAGAAGAAAGTAGCAGAGAAGGACGCCCAGCAGAAGGAGCTCAGTGCGAAACAGCTAAGCCAGGCCAATGCTGCCGCCACAACTCCCCACTGACAACCCTGTGGGTGCCCAGGAGGAGGAGGGCCTGGGCCCAAACCAACGCCCCGAGATCCGCTGCCAAGCAGCCCACTGACTACAGTTCAGTTCTGAAGACCAGCACCCACACGACTTCCATGTAGACATCTCGCTCACTCAGCTCATCCAGGAATATAGTCGGCTGCAGCCTGGGCACCACCTGAGGCTCGTCACCTTAGAGGTGGCAGGGAGAATCCATGCCAAACGAGCTTCTGGGGGAGAGCTCATCTTCTGTGACCTTCAAGGAGAGGGGGTCAGGTTGCAAGTCATGGCCAACTCCGGGAATTATAAATCAGAAGAATTTATTCATATTAATAACAAACTGCATCAGGGAGGCATAACTGGGGTTGAGGGAATCCCAGAAAAACCAAGAAGGATGAGCTGAGCCTCATTCCGGTGAGGTCACACTACTGTCTCCTTGCCTGCATATGTTACATCATCTTCATTCTGGCCTCAAAAACAAGGAAACACGATATCATCAAATACTTGAACTGGATCCCAGGTGACTTGGCAAGGCAGAGATTTATCACGTGCTCTAAGGTCATCACATTTATAAGAAGTTTCTTGGATGAGTTGGGAATCCTAGAGGTGGGAACTCCATGGTGAATGCCACCGCAGGGAGCCGTGCCCAAGCCTTTTCTCACCTGCCACCGTGAGCCGGACCTGACGTATATACGAGAACTACCTCGGCACTCTCTTCCATAGGATGCTGCCGGCTGGCGGCACTGACAAGGTTGATGCAACTGAACACCAGTTCCAAAAGGAAGACATTGATTTCATTCACAGTCCTGAGTTCACCACCTGTGAGGTCTACCTGGCCTACGCAGACTATCGCAGTCTCACGGAAATCACGGGGTACGTGATTTCATGGACAGTGAACTCATTACAGGCAGTTATGAGGTCACTTGCCATCTAGATGGCGCCAAGGGCCAAGCCTATGAGAATGATTCACCCCATCCTTCTGGGAAATCAGCATGTAGTAGAGCTTGGGGGTAAAGCTGCCAGACACTAACTTCTTCTAAACTGAACTTGCAAAATCTTGATCTCTGTATGGCAAAAGCTGTTGAATCCCCTCCACATGGGACCACAGCCATGCATGGAAGCAGCATCAAGCCTACGTCTGTCTGTGATCACCCACAGACAGTGAGCCCTTTGGCCAAACGGCACCACTCTACAGGGGGTCCGCCTGAGCCCAGTGAGTTTTTTGTCATGAAGACAGAAATACGCAATGCCTACAGCAAACTGAATGACCCCATGAGGCAGTAGTAGCTTTTCGAAGGACAGGCCAAGGCCAAGGCTGCTGGCAATGATGAGGCCATGTTTACAGACAAAAACTGCACCACCTGGACTATGGGCTGCCCCCTACAGTGGGCCGGGGCACGCGCATCCACTGAGTCACCGTGTCCCTCAGACTCCAATAAAATCAAGGAAGTGCTTCTGTTTCCTGCCATGAAACCAGAAACAAAAAGGAAAATGTAGCAATTGCTGATACATTTAAAAGAACAACAGCTGGCACTTCTGTCTCAAAAAGAAGAATTGCAAGTCACATAATTCAGGCACTGTTGCATTTCTGTAAAAGACCAAGGACTGCAAGGGAATTCTTGGATGTTGCTCTCCATTTGATTATCACAGTCCAGTCACCGGAAGAGAGAAAAGGTACTAAGAATTCCTATTTCACTCCTTGTTACCACATAAACTGTCTCTAATGAAGGAGGAGGAAGAAGGGAAGAAGAAAGAACAAAAAAACAGAAACTAAAGCACAGTGATGTGGTAGTTTCTGCACAAGGTGGAATTGTTTCCGACAGGGTGATCAGGAGAGGCATCCCTGACTGGGTGACGTTTGAGCTGAGAGTACGTGTTGACAAGAAGAACTGGAGGTCCAGCCATCTGGGCAGAGGGCAGTGCAAACGCCGAGAGCTGGGGGAGGAGCAGGCCTGGCCCGCTGCAGCTCGGGAAGAAAGCCAGCACAGGGAGGCACCCACCAGACGAGGCAGGGAGGAAAGGCTTGGTCGGGGCCATAGACCACGTATCTATCTGGCTTGATGAGATTTCATAGGTCTATGAAAGAGAATCCATTTAACCCTACCACCCACATCAGGTCTATTCTCTCTAGGGTTAAATGGATTCCCAGAGATTTCATTCTCTGTGAAATGAGAAATCATTGGAAGATTTGCAGGAGAAAAGTAACAGGGTCTAAATTTATTTGAAAGGTCATCTTGGCAGCTGACTGTAGAGGGGACACCAGCTGAGTTTACGAGGTGTCCCCAGGGGGCTTTCTGGTTGATGAGATGCCTGTAGGAGGCCTTGAGTTCGTTCATTTGCCTGAAGCAGTACCACGCATGCGGTTTATGAAAAGTTGTCTAACTAATGACTGTGTTACAGCTTCATAATATGGAGCAGAAAGTAGGTTATTAAAAAATTTGGCACAGGCCCTGGCTGGTGTAGCTCAGCGGACTGAGTGTCAGTCTGTGAACCAAGGGGTCACCGGTTTGATTCCCAGTCGGGGCACATGCCTGGGTTGCAGGCCGGGTCCCCAATGGAGGGCACATGAGAGGCAACCACACACTTATGTTTCTCTCCCTTCCCTTCCCCTCTGTCTAAAAATAAATAAATAAAACCTTTAAAAAAGAGAAATTAGGCACAAATTAGATAATTAAACTGTTACCGAATGTATAACTTTGTCTCCAATCACATGTGCGACTTTGGATCTGTCCACGGTCATGCAAAATCTCTGCACTTTCATTTTTCTGGCTGTTAATAATAAGGGTAGTAAAACGAGGGTTAATATTTACTGAAGCTGTGACCCATAACTCAAAGTGTTTAAACCAGCCGAAAGTATTTTTACCAGCGATCAAAAGAATGTCAGGCTAACCTTCTTAAAAGCAATAGCTTCTGATTTTTTCTAATTTCTTTCCTCAACTGTTAGGTTAAACTGGAGAGAAAGAGCAGAGTTTTTCTGAGGGCCTTGCCTCATCACCGTTTTGCAGAGAAGAAAACTGGAGTTCACAGACATCAAAGCTTTAGCACGTCAGAGGCTCCTAACGCATTAGGCGTGAGGCAGGATCCGAAGCCAGCTCTGTCTTCCACTGAACGTAAGCTGTCCCTCCGATGCAAAGGCCTGGAGTGCGGTCCATAGAGGAGTAAGAAGAAGAAGGACCTGCATAACAGACCTGAGAAGAGTGAGCGGTGGGTACCCCTGTACGCGTTGTGTGGGGAGGCTGAGAAGGGGACAGGGGAGACTGAAGGGGACCCTGGAAGGAGGGAATGCGGGGATGTGGCGGCAATGGTTTGCAGGTCTACCAAATGTGACTTTGAGATCTGCGGTCGATGGCATCCAGCCTAGCCCACTGCTACTCCTCCTTATTTCTTGTGATAACAGCCCTTTTAAACACATTAGGCTGTTATCCCAGGAAGAGTCCACTGTACTCCCTCAGTTCCCCCAACTACTTACTGAAACCGAAGACACTTCCAAAGTTCCAGTCTTTTAGCTCAAGCAGTTGACAAATGTAATTTCCCCTGGGAGGGGCTATTATCTTCTTAGCCTATTAGTAATATGAATATAGAATCTGAAGCAGCTCGTTTTTGCTGCATAACAAACCATCTCAAAACATAGGAGTTTAAAAACAATCGTTTATTGTTTTTCACAAGTCTACAGGTTGGCAGGTAGTTCTCCTGACCTAGACCAATTATCAGTCAGGTGTCTGTGGTCAGATGGCAGGTCAGCTGGGGCTGAGTGGTCTGTGGTCAATGAAATGACTCAGCTCTGCTCCGCGTGGTCTCACATGCCACCTGCCCCCAACTCAGGCATGTTGTCAGGATGATGACAGAGAAGCCAGAGAGGAAGCAGAAATATTCAAGGCTTTTTGAGGTTTAGACTCAAAGCCCTCATATTACTTTTGCCACGTTGTACTCCAATCCCTGTTAGTATGACCAGAGGCTATAGTTATTAGGCAAAGGGGATGGATACATAGAGGCCATTAAATTAATTGAGGGCATCGATGCCTTCAATCTAACACAGAACAGGAGAGCAAACTTTGATGGGAAGAGTAGGAACGGAAAGGTAGAAAATAAAAGTTGTTCGCATTCCTAATCATCTCATGCGTGGAAATCTCATGTTCTATTTTCTAGTCTTGTCCTCAAGCAAATGGTACTCATCCTTCTCATTTGTAAACCTCCATCCTGGTATTTCCTGTGCAAGTTAATCATCTCCTCACATACATTTTGTTTTGCATTGGCCTTTGATTAAAATTAATCAAATTAATACTTAAAAAACATTAATCATTTGAGTTCAGACATTAGATTTTTCTTTGATATAGAGTAAAAAAACTCTAATGTGCTTTTATTATTCTTCTAATTAATGAACAACTTTAGTGTTTGTGTGAATGACATGGTGGAACAGCAATTAAAATGGAAGAATAAAAAATATCAACTTCCCTGTGAATTCACCAGTTTATCATCAGTAAATATTTATTGAGCCCCCACAGTGAGGAAAGAACTGTGATGTCTACATTATATTACATGTGTAAAAAAAGCATATTCTGAGTGTAGAAAGCACAGATGAGATGCAGATGATCAAATATTGATAATATCACTTGACAATGAATATCAAAGTGGTTGTGTAAGGTATGTTTAATTTAAATAATGTATAATCATTAATTTAAAGGAGTAAACTGAAGAGCATTTAGGGAAGACTACGGTGGAGCCTTTGAGGTAGCATATACTTACTACCTTGTATATGGTAGTAAAGTGAGAAAAAGTAAGGAAGACATAGGTCATCATAAGTAAGGGATCAGTAAAAGTCACCCCACACCAGCATCGGGATAAGGTAAAGCTCTCAAGGTGAGTAGATACTACCTCGGGCGACACACAGAATGTGCCTATGGTCATTTGCTGGCCCACAAATGTGGGTTTCAGGTGTGGTTGATCCGGTCCCTCTGAGCAGACTCAGAGAGAGAACTCTTCAGAAGAGAAGCATGCCACTGGCTGAAAGGGCTGTCATTGGCCAGATCATGAGTCAACTTAGCGCTGCTTTCTGGTCCTCCCCAGAGTTTCTGGAAGAGCTGCTGGCTGGCTCTAGAAGATGTGGAGAAGACAGCAGGCCCTGCCAGAAAAGAGCAGCACCCAACAGATATTCCAAGCACAATTCATGGCCTGGAAGACCATGTGCCAGGGGAAGAAAGCAAAAATGGATGCAGACCTGAAAACGTGAGTGACAGGTCTCAGACCTGGAAAAAAACAATTGAGAGTAGAGTGCTGCCTCTTTGCTATATGAAAGGTCTTTCTGGTGTCTCACAAACAGAGAGTCTCTACATGGAAGAGGTCTTTGGTCGCCCACTGGGGGCATTGTTCTTGTTTATCATCAAGGGCTTGAGCAAAAACAAGGGTGGTCCCACATGCTTTAACATACTTGGAACCCGACACAGTGCATTTTGCTGATAGGTTTATTGCATAGAAGAATTGGCAGAGTTTGAGGTTTTTCATGTTATGCAAGCTGAAGAAAGAGAACTCAAGCAGAGGGAGACAGTGAGCAACACTCGCAAAGCCATCAAATGCGTGATTGTAATCTAGGACTTCATTTGTTCCAGAGACCTCAGTATTGCCCAGTTCAGGGAAAACGGGATTATAACACACTTGCCCTGTCTCACCTGCTGTGTCGACTCTGTAAGTTCCGGTTTTAAGTTCCTTTTAATCTAGAAAGATAGGTTTGGTTTTAGGTTAAATTTCTTTGACTTCCTTGTAAACAGACATGATGGGTTAGGCTTCTGGTTTTTTAGCTTTTGCTCTGTTTCCCAGTTTAAATTTTGTATACAACAACTAGCAGAGTACCAAGCACATGTAGACAGTTGACTTTTTAAAAAGTTCCTCTACAAGTCCAACTACAATTGCTTAAATATCCCTCAAAGAATCCTATCTGCAAAGGAAAGAAAATTTTATGGGGAGGTTATTTGGCTCAGCCCAGACCTGGGGCTATAAAGAGAAAGCCTCCAGAAAGACACATGAAGGCATCCCCATGCATACGTGCATGGGCACAGAGAAAGCAAACCCTGGGCGTGAGGCGTGACAGGGACAGAAAATATAAGATAAAATGTCAGTGGGCTGAGGAGACTGGGTATATGCTTGGTTGCTTTTGGAGAGAGACTGTGTAGAACAGCAAGAAGACACAGGGTTTTGGCTTCTAAAGACCTGCCTTTGAATGCCAGCTCTCAGAGCTGCCATTTAACTGAATGTGTGCACTAGGAAAAGAGACCATTTCTCTTGAGTTTGGTTTTTCTCACCTCCAAAATGAGAAATAGACCTATTTCCTAGCGTTGTTAAGAGGATTAAATAAAGTTCCCTTCCACTCTTTATCTCCCTCCCTGAAAACCCAGTAAGAAACACTGGAACCAAGTCTCTAATGGCCCAGCCCAATCACCAGGCCCCACCCTACTCCAGAGAGTTTACACAGGTCCATAGGGCAGATGTTGAATTCAAACTCTGGTTTACCAGAAATCTCAAAATAGCATCTGACCTGTCAAGGCTAAATGCTCACTGTGGCTGCGGAGGAGGTGGTAATATCTGCATTTCAGCCTCTCAGTTTTCTCACTCACAAGCCGTGAAACATGGGATAAACTCGTTAAACTCTCTGTGCCTCTCAGCCTTTTCTTCTGCAAAATGAGGATAACTCCTTTATGAAATCATTCCCAGCACTGCACACAAGCATGACCTTTGAAAAACTCGTCCAACTTGCTACCCAGTAGGGTCATTTTCTACATTTTTTTAACGAGCAGAGAATATTTTTCATTCAGTTGTTGGACATGTGCATTCTTTCTTCCATAAATTGCATGCTTTTGACCTGACTCACATCTTAAAAGATCCTACGAGCTAAATTCCCAAGACTAAACTCTCGCAAACAGCACCATCTCAGTCTCCTCTTCTGAATTCAGCCTAGAGTCCCTGCTCTTCACTGTTTGAAAAGAATGGCAGGATTCCTGCTAAAGGGAGTCAACAGTTACAGAGGGATGTACTAGTGATGTACTAGGGCCTGAACTCTTTCTCTGCACCTGTCTCTAAGAGGTGACAGTTCATGTTCTTCTGAATGCCCGAGGACTTTGAGAGAATCATCCTTGTGTCTTCCTTGTTTTGACCATTGTTACAAACAGGTGAAATAAGTAACCACCAAGAAAGATGTCATTTCAGGGTTATCAAGAAGAATACAGGGGAAATACCAAAAATTTTGGCCCTGGACCTAGATAGACACATATTTAAAAAAAAAAAAAACATGTTTTTAGGATGATCAAATTCATCAATTGTGAATAAGTTTCTAACTATATGCTTTAAAATAATTATATAGCCAGAAATAAACCCTAACATTTATGGTCAATTCATTTTCAACAAAGAGGACAAGACAATTCGATGGGAAACAAATAAGCTTTCCAACAATAGCACCCAGAAAACTGGCAAAAGAGCAAAGTGCCAGGACCACATGTGAAAGAATGAAGTTGGACTCCTACCTCACAACACACACAAAAATTGACTCCAAGTGGATCATAGATCTTACACTTATATAAGTGCTAAAACTATAAAATTCTTGAATACATAGGAGTAAATAAATCTTCATGACCTTTGATTTAAGGCAATTCTTTCTTAGGTACAACCACCATAAGCACATGTGATACAAGAGAAGATTGGCAAATCGGACTTTTATTAAAATTAAAAACTTTTGTGCTTCAAAAGACACAATCAGCAAAGTAAAGAGAGGAGGGGTGAGTGGGGACTAGACAAAAGAAAGTGAAGAGACCAGCCAAAAAACATATATGCATAACCCATAGACACAGAGAGCAGCGTGGTGACAGCCTGAGGGGAATGAGGGGGAGGGCTGGACAGAAGTAGGCCAACGGAGAAAAATGGGGACAACTGCAGTAGTGTAAACAATAAAAATAAAGTTCAAAAAAGTAAAGAGACAACCACAGGATGGTAGGAAATATTTGGAAATCATATATCTGATCAGGGATTGCATTCAAAATATATCAAGGACACAACTCAATAATACAAAGACAAATAACCCAGTTTGAAAATGGGTAAGGGATTTGAATAGCATTTTCTCCAAAAGATATATAAACGGTCAATAACCACAGAAAAGATGCTTAATATAATCAGTATTAGAAAAATTCAAATTAAATGCATAATGAGATACTGTCCCATCCACTAAAATCACTCTAATCAAAAAGAAAAATAAATAAGTGTTGGCAAGCATATGGAGAAATTGGAACTTTCATCCATTGCTGATTGGAATGTGAAATGTTGTGGTAACTTTGGAAAATAATTTGGCAATTCTTCAAAAAGTTAAAAGAGAGCGATTTTATTCCCAGGCATATAACCAAAATTATTAAAAACCTATGTCCACAGAAAACATGCACACAAATTTCCACAGCAGCATCATTCATCGTATCTAAAAATGGAAACAATCCAAATATCCATCAACTGAAGAGCAGATCAATAAAATGTGGCCTCTCCATACGATGGAAGATGATTTGGCCATGAAATGGGTGGAGGACTGACACAGGCTACGACCTGGATGAAACTGGACAGTGAGCCAAGGGAAAGAAGCCAGTCACAAAGGATCACGTAGAGCATAATTCCACTTAGTGACATGTCCGGAACAGGTACTTTCTCTGTGACACAAGGCACATTAGTAGATTAGTGGTTGCCTAGGGCAGAAAAAGGGACATGAAGAGCAATTCCTAGTGGGTATAGAAGAGCGATGGAAATGGTCCAGAATTAACTACAAATTGGTAGTCACAGAATAGTCCCAAGAATGTAAAATACAGCGTACGAAATATAGTCAATAATACTGTAATAACTATGTTTAGTGCGGGGGGGGGGTACTGGAAATATTGTGGCAACAACTTGGTAAAGTATATGATTGTCTAATCACTATGCCATAATAATAGTTTACAAAATAATACTGAATGTAAACTGCAATTGAAAAATGAAATAAAAACAATTTGCTAAGAGAGGACGTAAATGTTCCTACCACCCTGGTTGGTGTGGCTCAGTAGATTGAGCGACAGCCTGTGAACCAAAGGGTCATCTGTTCAATTTCCAGTCAAGGCACATGCCCAGATTACAGGCCGGGTCTCCAGTAGGGGGCATGCAAGAAGCAACCACACATTGATGTCTCCCTCACTTTCTCTCTCCCTTCCCTTCTCTCTAAAAATAAATAAATAAAATCTTTTTCAAAAAAGGTACTTGCTCCCCCCAGAAAAAAATAAATGAAAGGGAAATGATGTGAAAACAAAGACAAAATATTTTAAAATTAGATGATGCTGTCTGGGCAACACTGTAAAAATGTACTAAAACCACTATAGTATACACCTTAAGCTGGTAGATTTTGTGTTATATAAATATCTTAAGCTGTTTTTAACACCTTCAAAAACCAGCTACTTAAAATAAGGCCATGTGATTTTATGATACATGTTGGTAATAATGATGGTAACACCTCCCGAGGGCTTAGTATGTGCCAGGTAATAGTCAAAGTTTGTACAAATGTCAACTAACTTACTTTCCCAATAAACTTATTAGGTACATACTATTGCTTTCCCCATTCTACAGATTAGAAAACTAAAGCTATCAAGTGGCGCTGTAAGAATTCAAACACAGAGTTTGTGTTTTTAAGGGAAATAGGTCCTGGCCCTGGAATCCAATAGCAACATAGGGGGGGGTCCCCAAAATTCAGAGAACTGGAGAAACTGTTACATATTCTAATTCATGAGACAGCCTAAGAAAGATAAGAGTGAAAACGTAGTTTTTCGTTACTTCAATACCAATGGAAAACGAAAGGCTGTAGGTGGCGTGACTGGGTCCCTTCCTCCTTGTCCCGTATGAAGACAGCATGAAACACGGGCAGGCTGCTGCTGGGAGTCCCGGGCGAGTTTCCATCCTCCCACGAGTTACAGGAGGAGGGATTCTGCAGAGCAGCCTGCTGTGAACAGGGGCCGGGTCACCAGGCCAGGAGGGCGGCCCTGGCTCCGCCCCTTATTATTCAAGTGACCGTCAGTAGTCACCCAAACCCTCTGTATTCAGATGACTGACCTGTAACACCAAGTGTCTTTATCAGATGCTTCCCAGGGTTCCTGTTTTAAGATTCCATCGCCTACCACCCAGTTCCTAGACTAACCTTGAAAACATCTTGGCCGGCATTATGTTTGCTCCCAAGCAAATCTTTCTCAGACCTGTTTCATGGATTTTCCCAAATATGTCTTTTCTGGGTTTCTGTCGACTACTCTGGCTCCTGGAGCTGCCCTAGGGAGAGAGAGAACAGAAAAACCGGTCTTTTTGTTACTCTTAGTTCCTCACTTTGGATGATAAGTGTAATAAAAATCCATGTTGTAAATGTTGGATACATTTCCAGGATTACCAAACTACTTGTCTACTCTTGAGGGTAAAACATAATTTTGATAATGCTAAAATGTTCATTGTGATTGATTATTGCTGGGGGCTGAGAATCACAGATGATTTTGTAATTTTCCTCTTTATATTTTGCACATTTTGTTTTATAAACAAATAGTGTATGTTAAAAAACCTTATGGCTACCAACTGATTTCTCAAAAGACACCTTACAGACAAGAAGGGGCTAGAAAGAAATATTGAAAGTCATGAAAGGCAAGGACCTACATCCAAGA